CTTCAGCATCAGTCCTTCCAATGAATATTCAGTACTGATTTCCTTTAGGATGGACTGGCTGGATCTCCTTGCTGTCCAAGGGCCTCTTAAGAGTCTTTTCCAATACCACAGTTCAATAGCATCAATTCTTTGGCACTTAGCTTTCTTTATAGTCCACCTCTCCTATTTGTACATGACTCTTGGATAAACCATAGCTTTGAGTAAGATGGACCTTTGTTGGCAAAGTAATGTCTCTGCCTTTTAATATGCTGTCTAGGTTGGTCATAACTTGCCTTACAAGAAGCAAGTGTCTTTTAGTTGCATGGCTGCAGTCACCATCTGCAGTGATTTTGGAGTCCAAAAAAATTAAGTCTGTCACTATTTCCATTGTTTCCCCATCTATTTGCCGTGAAGTAATGGGACCAGATGCCATGATCTTAGTTTTCTGAATGATGAGTTTTAAGCCAGCTTTTTCACTCTCCTCTTTCACTTTCATCAAGAGGCTCTTTAGTAGTTCTTCACTTTCTGCCTTAAGGGTGGTGTCATCTGTGTATCTGAGGTTATTGATATTTCTCCCGGCAGTCTTGACTCCAGCTTGTGCTTCATCCAGCCCGGCATTTTGCATGATGTACTCTGTTTCTAAGTTAAATAAGCAGGGTGACAGTATACAGCCTTGACGTACTCTTTCCCAGTTTGGAACCAGTGCATTGTTCCATGTCCAGTTCTAACTGTTGTTTCTTGACCTCCATACAGATTTCTCAGAAGTTTCTCTTGAAGAATTTTCCACAGTTTATTGTGATCCACACAGGTTTTGGCGTAGTCAGTAAAGCAGAAGTAGATGTTTTTCTGGAACGCTCTTATTTTTTAGATGATCCAGCGGATGTTGGCAATTTGATCTCTGACCCTTCTGCCTTTTCTAAATCCAGCTTGAATATCTGGAAGTTCATGGTTCACATATTGTTGAAGGATGGCTTGGAGAATTTTGAGCATTACTTTGTTAGTGTGTGCAATGAGCACAGTTGTGCAGTAGTTTGAACATTGTTCAGCATTGCCCTTCTTTGGGACTGGAATGAAAACACATTTTCCAGTCCTCTGGCCACTTCTGAGATTTCCAAATTTGCTGGCATATCAAGTGCAGCACTTTCACAGCATCATCTTTTTAGGATTTGGAATAGCTCAATTGGAATTCCATCACTTCCACTAGCTTTGTTCAAGGAGACCTAAATACCATTGGGCAACTCAATGTTTTAAACATGCCGATTCTTCCCATATTAACCTATAGTTTCAATGTATTTCCAATCAGAACCCAGTGGGTTCTTACTGTGGACTTCTTTGACAGCTGATACTAAAATTTAATGAAAATGCAGAGTCAAGATTAGCCACAATACTCTTATTAAAGGACAAAAATGAGTAGAAGGACTTGGTCTATTCTGACTTATACTCTAGGGTAAAATTTTACTCTTAAAGCTGCAGTTGAATTACTGCATGGAGAGACATAGAGACCCCAAAAATGAGATCCCAAAAGGAAGGGACAACTACCTAATTAATTCCCCCCCCAAAAAACAGCAAAAAGCAATAGGGAGGAAGAACTTGTTTTATAAATAAGGTGAAATAAAATTGATTCTTTGAACAACAAATTGTTCAAATTGGGATCCGTGACTTATCCTGTGTTCATTAATCATTTACATTTTGGATTTTAGACCTGTGTGGGAAAGTGGAATTTTAAAGGTTATTAGAAGATAATATAGGGAAATTTTGTTATGAAAATAAAGGAAATAATAAATTTGAACCCATTACTTCAAAAGTCACCATAAAGAGAATGACAGGTCAGGCTCAGAATGAAAGAAGAAACTGTGGAACACTTGAATACAGCATACATAAAAAATTATAAATCAATAAGAGAGCTTCCCTGGTGTCTCAGTGGTGAAGAATCTGCCTGCCAGTGTGAGAGACACAGGTTCAATCCCTGATCCAGGAAGATCCCATATGCCACGGAGCGCCTCAAGTCTGTGCACCACAGCTGTTGAGCCTGTGTTGTAGAAACAGGGAGGCACAGCTATTGAGCCCTTGAGCTGCAGCTACTGAAGACCTCATGCCATAGAGCCCATGCTCCTCAACAGAAGCCACTGCAAAGAAAAACCCTCACCCCACTAGAGAAAAGCCCTTGAAACAACAAAGACCCAACACAGCCAAAAATAAAGTTATTTTATAGAATAAATAAATTAAAAATAAATCAATAACAAAAGACAGCCAGTAGGAAAATGGGTGAGAGAAACTTTGAACAGTTTTTTTCCTGAGAGGAAAATGCTGAGGCACAATTAGCATATAAAAGACACCCAACTTCCTTCTGAGGAAAGAAAGTCAAAACCACAACCTAATGCTTCTTCTTGTCTTTCAGATTGGCCAGTTTTTAAAAGTCTGATAGTTTATCAAGTATTTTAAAAGTCATTGTATGGCAAAAACCACTACAATATTGTAAAGTATTTAGACCCCAACTAATAAAAGTAAATGGCGGGGGGGGGGGGGGGGGGGGGGGAGTCATGGAGCAGTGGGAACTCTTAATACCAAGGTGGTTAAGTGTGTAAATTTGCACAACCACTTTGAAGGCAGTTTGGGCATTATTACCAAAGTTTGAAAATACGCATACCCTTTAACTCAGGGTGTCAGCTGCTATACATCTTAGGTTAGAGAAATATGTACTCATAACACACCAGCATACACATATGAAAATGTTTATGGTAGTACTGTTGACAAGGACCCCAAACTGGGAACAGTGTAAATGTAGAATGGATAAATTTATCCTGGTGTTTGTTTAGTGAGGTGCTACACAATAGTGAAAATGGAAACAAAGTATAGCAATATGGATGAATTGCATGTAAAATTTTTTAAATAAGTCAAATGATTGTTTAGAGAGAGAAGTAAGGTGAGAAGTAAGATGTTGTGTAACTCTGAAGATCCCCTGGAGAAGTGGAGAAGGAAATAGCAACCCACTCCAGTATTCTTGCCTGGGAAATCCCATGGACAGAGGAGCCTGGCGGGCTACAAGTCCATGGGGTCACAAAGAGTCGGACATGACTTAGGGATTAAGCAACAAAGGGAAAGAGAAGATTGTGGTAAAGCAGGGACTTACAAGAGGTGGGTACCAGGCAGTTTTCTATTTCTATTATTGACTTGCATGGAGGTTATACTTTTTTGTGTTGTAATCATTATAATGTACTTTTGGTTTTTGCACTTTTTCTGTTTTATTTCACAATAATAAATGTTTTAAACACTTAAGAAGTATCATGTTCTGCTAAACAAGAACATTTTCTGGTTAAGAAAAAATTTATTCCCAGCCCCTTTTCTGTAGCTCCACTCTGGTCCTTTTTACAGCAAAATTCAAAAGCATTTCTGTACTTGTTATGGTTCTTCCATTCTTTACTAAACTCACCACACTGACTTATCATCCTTACCAGAATAACTTCCGTATTGTTAAATTCATTAGTCTGGTTCTCAACTCTTAATGCCTTTTAGCAGCATTTTGCGTTGTTAATCACTCAGTCTTCATTCAGATTCTTTTTTCTTTGGCCTCCAGGAGACCACTGTGTTCTGATTTGGTTTTTTTCCTTCCTGGCTGTTTCCTCTCAGTCTCTTCTCTGGTTCCTCCTCTCTCCAGCCTCTTAAAGTGAAGTACCCTCCAGGCTGTAGGCCCTACCCTTTTATTTTCTTGGTGGTTGGATCATTTTTAGCTAATACCATGCTTATGTTGACCACTCCCTTATTTGTAAATCCAACCTGAACCTCTCTATTAAACTCCAGACTTGCATATTCTATATGACAGTTACAGTAGGATATCTGATAATTTCTCAAATTATCATGTTCATTCTATGAGGAGAGGTCTTTGAAAATTATTACCAATTAGTTCTAAGAGGAGAGGTCATTCCCTCCTAGATTTTGCCCAGTGCAGCCCTTCATTTGGCTGGTCCTCCTCTAATTCATATCCATTGCAATAAAGCTGCAATTGTGAATCAGAGTTACTGCATTTTATTAAAACAGCCTTTACATGTGAAAGTTTTGGTCCTAGTTTGGAAGGTGGTGTTTAAATTTAAAAATATCCAATATTGCTAGTACTTTTTTGCAAGTGGTCCTCACACTTTTGAGCCTGAGTCTTTGTTACTGTATAAGACAGCATTTCTTAACCTGACTCCTGGGAGAGAATAAACCTATTGCCTTAAAATAGCCACTGTATGAAGGTATGTATATGTGTATATATATAGAGAGAGAGATAGTTAATTTCTCTCCCATGCATCTTAAGTGGTATTTGTTATTTTGGATCATCTTTGAGAAAATTGGCAAAAAAGTCACTTTTCTGTTCGAAATAATCATTTTCTGTTCTGTGGATCAGATGAGGAACTGAGAAAGTCTGTGAAGAGAGAAACTACTCTTCCTATAGTTCTGAACAGTGCAAATTGTCACCTCCCTTGTGGTCAAGGCTGTAATAGAACTAATGCCTATGTGATTTTTATTCAAACTCTAGCTTGAGACCCTTTACAGATTGACTGTTAAACTTTATGATTTTAAGTTACCTGTTTATATCATGATTTTATCTTTAAAGGATTGCTTGTAAGTGAAAATCTAAGGAAACGCTGTCAGTGAGGCACTTGGTTTAGAAATTTACTAAAATTGCCTAATGAATCTTACACTGCTTTCTCTCAATTCCCTTAGTCTTTATCCATTCTCCTCTCAGGAGAACTAATTGGTGGTAATAATTTTCAAGCATCAGCCCTTGATTACTTACAGTTTCAAAAGCAAAGACTATATCTCATCATTCTGTGGTCCATATTTAGGCTTTGTTAGATTTTCTTTTATTTACTAATACCTTCTCAGATGTGTTTACTTTTTATATAGTAACTAATGGTTTTATATTCACAGTAAAAATAGCTGTGTTTGCTGGTTGATAAAAACAACTGTGGGAGAAAGTAAATAACATGCTTTCTATATTAATGTTTTCATTGGTAAACATTTATTTTGCTATTATCTAGGCTATCAAGTACTAGCTCCAACTGCCTATTATGATCAGACTGGTGCCTTAGTGGTTGGCCCTGGAGCAAGAACTGGCCTTGGAGCTCCAGTTCGGTTAATGGCTCCAACACCTGTTTTAATTAGTTCAGCAGCAGCACAAGCTGGTAAGTGTTAATTTTCTGGTGGTGTTTGAGATATTTTAAAAATAGAAAATGGTTTTCTGGGTAGTTACAAGAAGTATCTGAAATTTATTTTATAGCAGCGGCAGCAGCAGCTGGAGGAACTGCGAATAGTCTCACAGGCAGCACAAATGGTCTGTTCCGGCCAATTGGCACTCAGCCACCACCGCAGCAGCAGCAGCAGCAGCCGCCAAGCACTAATCTGCAGTCTAATTCATTTTATGGGAGCACTTCTCTGACTAATAGCTCCCAGAGCAGTTCTTTATTTTCTCACGGACCTGGCCAACCTGGAAGTACATCTCTTGGCTTTGGAAGCAGTAGCTCTCTGGGTGCTGCTATAGGGTCAGCCCTCAGTGGATTTGGTTCATCAGGTACGTTTCTTTTCAAGATGAGTGTACTCTGCTAAGTGGACATGAGGTACATGTGTTTGTTTTTAGTATTAATATGAACAATAGCTAGTAGTGTAGAAAGGACAAGAATAAGATACTGGTTTATTGGCTTAGTTTTGTAGACAGAAACCTCTTGGAGTGTTTATGAATGTTTAACCCATTTCACGCAGCCCATTCTTTACTCAAGTATAATATATTTTCCCCTGGCCTTAAGAATTATACTACTGTAATTTTTGTTTTAGTAAGATTTGTTTGGGCTAATATACATTATGCTCGTTACTAGCTTTTCCCTATAATATTAATGTTTGAGGCAGTAAAAACTTTGCTATCTTAAGTTTCTGATATTTTAAAATAATAATTATCTGTGTGCTCATCAGATGATTTATTCTTACAATAATTATCTGTGTGCTCATCAGATGATTTATTCTTATTAAATGTTAATGAATATTTATGGTCCCTATTTGGTATAATATATAAAAATAAAATATAATGAAATGTTCTAAACAGAAGCCCCTACAATAAGGATGCCTGTCTTTATTTTAGGTTAAACAACTTAGCCTTTATCACTAAAAATACGTTTAAAAAGACTCCTGCTGCCTCGTATCCTAGTTTTATACATAATACTTAAGAAGTCCAAATTTTAAATAGCTTCACAAAATAAATAATGTACCCACAGAAACTGATTTTGTAACTGAGAAAGAGCTGAAATCAGAAGAGGCCCACATTGACACCCTGTTGACACATGTATTATCAGTCTCTGGTATTTCCAGAGTGTTCAGGAAACATTAGGGAAAAAACAGCTTACTCTCATTCTCTTGGTATAATTGACAGCCTTTTCTTTATGAGGGACATTTATTCACACCTCAAGAAATGTTTTATTTCTCTGGTGTCCTTGAGTCTTTAGAATCTGCTTCTAGTCTGTTTTCCCACCACATGAAATTATATTCTTTTTTGGTGTGAAAAAATGGCCAAACTAACACATGCCAGTCATTACTATTTTTGCCAGATTTCTAAGAAAGTATCTTCTTAACTCTTTGAACGTTTTCAATAGGGATGGTCCAGAACACCTATTAACTTTTAGGTGCAAAATTCTTTTGATATAATGAGATACAAAAAGGAAATATCGTATTTGCCTAATAAAAAAATTGCCTAAAGAATGGGCATGGGAACTTCTCAGGAAAAATCTAGTGAACATAGAGACTATTCAGTCTTTTAATTTTCCTATTTGATTTGTTTCATTACGTTTGGAGCTTAGTATTTTAATATGTAGCCCAGGCACTCTCATAGACTCACTTTTTTCTTTCTAACAGTTGACAAGCAGTTGCCCCAGATAATCCTAGATTGCTGAAGAAAATCAAAAGAACAGATAACTTAAAAAAAAAAAAACTTTTGTGGAAATAACTGGTTTCTGTAGATTTGTAGGCCCTGAATAATACAGGAAAAATAGAGAAAAGATAAATATTCTGTTCCCTTTGTAATAATAAAATGTCACTGATAGTCTGGTATACTTCCAAATTTCCCTGTCTCTTTATTTGTTAAGACCCTTCCCCCTGTATTCAGGAACTGATTAGTCATCAACATTTTGTTCTCTATAGTTGTCCCCTGCAGATGCCTCTGCCAAAAAATTATCTTCATTCTCCCTTATTTATGAGCATTGCTTTATTCCATTCTGATTTCCAACTTGGGTACCTCTGTTTTACCTTGCTTCAGAGGACATGAACGATTGCTATCCCTAAATACCAGTAAAAAACCTATCATCTCCCTCCTCTTGGACATCTTGTGAGCGTTCATTCATGTGCTGCACTTATGTACCCTTTGAAATATACCCATTACCATTTCACATTATGGCAATTCAATATCTATATGAAATCTGAAATATGCTTATATGCACATGTACATATACAGTACCATGTGCACAGTCATTCTCTTACCCGTATGATGAAATTATTAATGCTTAACAGTGTTAAATACCCCGGTTTATAACTCAGATGGCCAGGAAGCTTAGCCATTGTAATATAAAGATTAAATCACCATTTCTATAACCTGTTATTTAGAATGTTCTTTTACAGTTGAAAGCTCGTGGTTTAACATTTTATCCACAATTGATATATGATTAGTGACTCCACTGTCATTATCTAGCCTCTTAAATATTTTAAGTATATTTTGTTTTATATTTTATAGTCATACTGTTGCAGATAATTTAGGCAGATAGTAAAACTTAAGAAGCCAACGTGTTTATGTTTAAAGTAAAGCTATTTCTTTTAAATGTTTTGCTTGGCTTTTCCTTTTTAGAGGAAAATGATATTGCATGTGTCAAAACTGTGGTTTCTTTGATTATTTGCCAGGGGAATGATAGTACTGCTGCTCTCATTTAGAGGGCTTTTGTCTTTTTCCTTGTCAGTTAAATGTTTTCTGAAATAAATAGAAATTACAAATGTAGCCATGTTTTAGAAAAATCACTTTGACAGTGTCCTTTTAAATTAGCATAGTTATTATAGCATACATTGACAATTTTGCCACAACCATTCTTACAGTAGTATTTATTTGTTGTATTAAAAATGCATATAGTTACTTAGTATTTCCCTATAATATATCTTAAAAAGTGAGAATTTCGTTAAAACCTGATCAGTCCTTCAGAAACCGCATTCACTGGTTTAAAAGGTTGAATACTGTTAATATAATATTTTGCTTAATACAGTAGTATGAGCCTGGTATTTTTCCTTTATAGGATTTTTGTTTTGGTAAAACCAGTGTAATTAAGTTTTCTTTCTGTATTAATAAGCTTACCTTGGTCTACCATCATGTGCTCTGCTTAATTTTTCTCTTTAATCTATACCCTTATGACCTATTTATAATTGACCTATTAAAATTTTCTTTAAAAGAATTAACCATATTGGTCCGAATATAGAGCTTGTCTTTTAAAAACTTTACAGGTTAAAAAATGTAATATGATATTATCTTGAATACAAAAAGATTTGGTTTAAAAGGCTTAGAGACTGTTTAAAAAAAAAAGTGTACTTGAAAATACAGGCTCTAAGTGAGACTTGTGAATTGGGAGTTTTGGACAACCCTTTTAAAAACACTTTGTAAAAAATTTGATTATCCAAGTATATGTTGATTAATAGCCAGATCTCGGGTTGCATAGCTACATGGTAATGTGAACCTACCATTCTTTTATGATTTTATAAAATGAAAAAAAGGACTAGAAAGTTAATAGTTGAATTGGGGATTAAGTGAAAAACAAGAAATTGGTATGTAGTACAGTAAGGGATGTAATACCTTTACCTAAGTAAGCAGTTCACGAGGCCAGACTACCATCTTAAGAATGGAAGATCTCGAGGGGTAAGTGAATGCATATCTTTGGTTGAAAACAGAGCTAGCAGTTAAAGTTTGGTTTTTCCAATATGTATTTTGTAATTTAGCTATTGAAGAATTAGGAGAATGTGTAGTGCGAAAAGTACTGAAGAGTAAGCTGCCACTGTATTTCAGAGCTGACTAATATTCGGGCCAATATGGACTTAAAGGACTGGTTTGAACACAAGCTGGAACCCAAATCAAATATGAATGGCGGGGGAAATGTGTTAATATTCTGTTTATCAATATAATCTTTTCTTGGCATTGGGTTGAAGTCTAAGAACTTGGTTCCAAAGGTTAGGATACTACCAAAATATAACCTTATTGGAATTTAATCTCTAGCATAGCAGACAACTTAAAGTTTCAGGGTTTATAAATCATACCAGGGTATTAAAGCACAGTAATCATATGTGTCAGTGGTAAATATGTGTGAAATAATGATCATATGACTGCTGGTAAATATTTGGTCATTTTCCTGGGGTGCATTTATACCCTTTTATGATTAATAAGTTAGTATATATACTTATCACAGTATATATAGTTATCACAGTAATTATCTTCTCTGTTATGTTTCTAAAAATAATTATTGTGATCACTTCTGTTATTTCCCAGCAAGAGTTGGGGATAGGTTTTATTCAGTTAACACTGTATGTAATTAGGGTTTTTTTTATTTCTTCTTCAGTTGGCAGTTCTGCAAGTAGTAGTGCCACAAGGAGAGAGTCTCTATCTACTAGCTCTGACTTGTACAAAAGATCTAGTAGCAGCCTAGCACCCATAGGGCAACCATTTTACAATAGTCTGGGATTTTCCTCCTCTCCAAGTCCAATAGGCATGCCTCTGCCAAGCCAAACTCCAGGACATTCACTTACGCCACCGCCATCACTTTCATCACATGGATCCTCATCCAGTTTGCATTTAGGTAAAAAAAAAAACCAAAACCCTTTTTATTCGTATGTATACATGTAAGTGTGTTTGTGTGTATGTTTTATGATATGTGTAAAATATTTAATGTTGGATAAAACATGCCAAATTGCTTTTGCTTTTAGATATTATCCTTTTGAAAAAGTTCTACTTTTGTGAAAATTCAAAGTGAGGGTCTGATGTACAGTAAGGTAAAGACCCCTATTGTATTTTTTATTCCTTTTATGAAATACAGTGGTGTGTTTTTTCTCGTCTGTGCTTTTGATTTGTGTGTGTTTTAGTTCATCTGAAAAGTCAGTTATTTATATGTGATAGTGAAATATATTTCACCATCAAAAGTTTGTGCACACCAAAAGCAAAATGTTAATCACATAGTTATTGAACTTTAAATAATTTAGTTTAGTATGATGGTCTTTGCTTTGGCCTTTTACCAAAGGGTTATATCAGGGTATATGAATTGAGTATGTTTGTGAGTTAGAGAATCTTACTATGTATGGGTTTGGTCCATGTACTTCTGTTACTTTTGAATATGTTGTGTAAGAAAAAATGTTCTAGGTTTTTTGTATCCTTGTAGTTGGGACATTTAGAACTTTGGTTTATATCCGTATATTAAAATTGCCCCCAGCCCAGGATTATTTGAATTGGTGGTTCCCTTTTTCCTGCTCCAAGATGTATTTAACCATGTAGTTAACAGGATATTTTGAAGGGTTTTTGGATATCAGAGGCTGTGTATGAATCCTTGTCTCTTCAAAGTATTTTATTAAAATTAGGTTTTGGATTTTTCTGATCCTAGTCATTTCTACTTAAAATTGAGGAGTTCTGTTGCTGATTTTTATATATGCTTGGAAAGATATTAATCAGCTTGTGATTTAAAGAGTAATGCTTGCTTTTGTAAGCAAATAAAAGTTAGTGATTATGTTTGAGCCCCTCCCCCAGTCATAAGGATATAGCTCTTTTTTCCGAAAGCTCAGTAATGTAGTTAAGTGTCCGTATAACAAAGGAATCTTTAACAGTGATCATCATTTAGGCTTATTTTATTACATAGTGGGCTAGGTTCTTTTTTAAAAAGACTGGTCCTCCACCCCAGTTCTGAGCCTTTGCTCTTTTGGGGATATTAACTATATGCAACCAATTAATTTATTTGAATGGGGTCCTCAGACCTGGTTTGTAGCACTGTTTGTGTAAACTTAACCAGTTTTTAGTCTACCACCTTCCTTCATTTATCTTTTCTCAGTCACAGGAGCTATTCAGTTCTTGATTTTTATTATTTCTATTCAGACCCACTCCTACTACTACGATTTAAAACATTAAAACATGCCTTTGAGACTTTGACACCAAAATTTGGAACAAAACATACCTAAGATAGGCATTTCATAATAGTTTTGTGTTTTATTCGTTAAGATTATATTTGTCATGTCCTGTCATTTTTTTCATAGGTAAGTTTCAGATCAGGTTTCTGTCAACTGTTAACTGCTTATGTAGTGCTTTAGTGCCTGTGTAAATGGCATTATTCTATATAACTTGCTTAGAAATTGGATTATAATGACCTTTTAGATGTCTCCAATTAAACCACAGTCTAGATTTTTTTGACTATAAAGAATCCAGGCATATAAATGCTTATGGAATGAATTCTAGTCAGTTATGAGGAGTAATCATGTGGGCCGGGAGTTCTACATTGTACTCTGATACTTTTCTGCCCACAGTTTAAGTTTAACTCCTTAGGTTAGCCTCACCTTGAAATCTGGTATTTTAATACACCTCTGATTGAAATTGTCTGTAGATTATTTTCTTTTGAGATTCCCTAGTTTCTTTTAACTTTAGTCATACTATAACTAGCAGCCTTTTTTGGTAACAAGGAATAGACCCTGCCAAATTGAAATAATTCAGTAGATTTCATAAATTTGCTTTTCACATAGTGTTCATGAAAATAATCTGTCCTTCACTTTCATATCATTGACTCATGATGCAAGACTTAACATGCTCTCTGGTCTAAAAAATATATTTTAAATTGTGTATTCCTGAAGTGGATTATGCCATAAGTTAGGCTATCAAGGCTGCTGATTTATAAAATACCTAAGGAAATGAATTTGCATAGCCATGTAAAAAATAATCTTACTGTGGTCATACACTAAGAATATAATATTATAAAATAGAGATAAATTTTCCATTTCATTAAAATTGACTGGAATTAATTAGTTCCAGTTGATTTTCTTATGAGATGTTAAGACATGTAACCATTATAGTTATTGGTAGGTCTAGCTATCTACAGTCTTAAAATACTAGATGAAGCATCTTTTTTTTTTTTAAGCCACCTATCATATGCCTTTGCTACTGCTAGCTACTTGATTGACAGAAAAAGCTAATAACAACATGTGTGCTTCTGGTTTTCCAGGAGATGTTTCATTTTTTAAAAATAGTTGTAATTTAATGAACATAAATATTTTTAGTAGGATGACTAGTAGTCACTTGGTGATTGAAGAATCAGTATTTCAACTGATAGATTTTGGTTGTTCCATTTTTTTTATAACCTAAATATTTTTGTTAAGATTTGCAGACTTTTAAAATATACTGAAGTCAGAAGCATGAAAAAGTAATCTTATATTCCATATTATAATGTGAAATTTCTAAGAGATTCCTTTTTAAAAAACATTTATAGCCACAATATCAAAATCATACCTTTTAACATTTAATAATTCTCATTACTCTAATTTCCCTAATTTACCTAAATGTCTTTTTACAGTTGTGTTTACATCAAGGTCCAAATAAGATCCATTATTTGTTTGATATGTCTTTTGATATGGAACCATTTTTACCATCCTCTTTTTTTTTTCTTCTTCTCTACATGTATTTGTGAAAGAAACTTTGTCCTATTGAATATCCCACATTCTTGGCTGATGAATTCTTCCTCATGATGGTATTTAATGTGTTCCTCTGTTCTCTGAATTTTCTGTAAAATGTAATTAAATTTAGTGGTTTGATCTTGTTGTTTGTTTGCTTTGTTATTTGGTTATATAGTTCTGCTGCACCATATCAGGAGACACATATCTAGTTGTTTCCATCAGCCAGATCCACTTAACAGCTTAGCAACCTTTCATCATCACCTGAATATTTCTTCAGAGATTGCAAAATGGTGATTCTCTTAACTCTGTCATTCCTTTGCATTGATTAGCTGGAATTTTTCTGTGGAAAAGAACTTTCATTGGTTGTGAGGTTACCCTGAAATACATAGTTCATATAGGAATCATGATAATGCTTAATTTTTTTTCCTGTATTTTGTAACTTTATTAAGTTGATGCCTTAGCAACTTCTGAAGGTGACTTGTAGGGGTTTTTTGTTTTTGTGTTTAAATCATCATACACTACAGGTAATTATAGTGTAAATTGATAGCTTTTAGGATTGTTGATATATTTTAGTCCATTGTAGTCTGGAAGATAACACTTTTTATACCTTTTTTTGATCCTGTATTACTATCTTTAACCATTTGGAGTCCCTTCAGATTGGTACCTGCTTGACCATAACTTGTTAAAAGCACTTAAAACACTGGTTAGAGAAGCAAGTGGAAAAGAACAAGCAAAGAGAACAACTTTAAGATTAGTGGTTTTTATTTTGAAATGCAAAGAGCTCTGTCACATTCTGGGCTTTACATTCAGCATTAATATTAAATGAATTATTTTCTCATGTTACATTGATTTATAAAGTTGAGGGAAAAATCTTCTACCAGTAGTTGTGTTTTAAATTATTCTCTGTGATAGAAGTCAGCCTCTTATTTTGAGATAGTTCACTCCCAGTAAAAGAAGATGAAATATTTCCAGTCTTATTTTGTTCATCTGCCTGGAGCTAGCTAACTAGTTGTTTCCTTTCTTGTTTCCTTTCTTTTTCTTCTTTGAGTAAATGTTTACAATATGTTAATGATTTCTTATTTAATCTTTATTCTCATAATATTTAGATTGATATGGAACTTCTTAGGTATAAAGTAGTATTCTGTATTTTTATTAGGGTTTGACAAACAAGTGGCTTTCTTCTCTGTACCTCTTTTTGAACTGGCTTATTTTTTTTCCTTAAGAAAAGGATGCCAAAAAGTCTTAATGACAGCTATGAGCTCAGGGAAATTAGTTAATTCAAAGGTAACTATTAAAGTTTTGTTAATGTCATGTATTCAGTAATCAAATAGTGTATTCAGCAATTAAATAGTGCAATAGATTTAAAAACTTTGTAACCTGTCTTCTACCCTAATCACAGAAAATTTTATATGAAATGTAGACAGGGTAATATTAACTTCTAAGGTCATTTTTCCTATTTAGTGGTAGTTTATCTGTTGAAATTGCTGACCTTTAGCAAATTTGGTCATCTACTTTTCTCAGAATGAGATTTTTAAGAGTTAAAACAAGAATGGCCAAATCAGTTGTTAAGGCTATGTACAATTTTGCTGAGTTTCATATTTGGTCCTTGAAGCAGAAAACAATATGAATTATTTTGAACTTTTCATTGAAAGTACTCTTTAAGTAGCAAGTTCCCTGTAACTGAATAGCTGCTGCTACTGCTGCTAAGTCGCTTCAGTCGCGTCTGACTCTGTGCGACCCCATAGACAGCAGCCCACCAGGCTCCGCCGTCCCTGGGATTCTCCAGGAAAGAACACTGGAGTGGGTTGCCACTGCCTTCTCTGAACTGAATAGCATTTGGTAGTTTTCTAAAGCACCTTCATATTCATGATTTCTTTTTTTTTTTTCTATCTCCTTTATACTTTATTTATTTATTTATTTATTATTTATTTATTATTATTTTTTTTATCACAACCATAGTGTATTTTTTTTTTTTACATGTATTCCCCATCCCAGTCCCCCCTCCCACCTCCCTCTCCACCCAATCCCTCTGGGTCTTCCCAGTGCACCAGGCCCGAGCACTTGTCTCATGCACCCAACCTGGGCTGGTGAACTGTTTCACCCTAGATAATATACGTGTTTCAATGCTGTTCTCTTGAAACATCCCACCCTCGCCTTC